ACTATCCCATGTGAGGAAAATAGGAGCTAACCACTCAGCCTATTCGCTGTGAGAGTGAATGACTGTAAAGTGTACTCTCTATGAGGTAACCCTGGAATTAAAGGGCCCATGTTACGTTATTTTCTTAGTTTCCTGTTCAAGAGCATAACTGGAGTTGTGTTTTGTTTCATTCTCAAATGTTTAACACGCAAATCCTACATATTTAGGCTGTGTTTTTATCTCAAACTGAAAACTCTCCACCTTGTTCCACCTTGTGATGTCATGTGGTGCTACAGAAAGTGCTCAACTCAGTTTTTTAAAAAACTTCGTACACCTTCACTAGAATCATTTGAAAGTTTTCAGACCTGGCATTGATAATCTCTACTGAACAAAAGGTAAAATGTAGCTGTTGTAGCTCTTGAAAACTACCGCTTCATGACATCACAAGGTGGAACTGAGCATTTTAAGCTTTTGAGGGGGCGGCAGAAGCTCAGTTGGTAGAGCGTTCATCCACTGATCTGGTTGTTGCTTCGAATCCCTGCTCGAATCCCGCTCTCCACATAAAACATCATGGGTTGAGCGGTCAGATCCACTGACCCACAGGTTGGCTGGTGTGTTTCCAGCTCCTGAACACTGTTGTTGTGTCCTTGGGCAAGACACTTAACCCGCCTCGCCCCCAGTGTCTGTTTACACTGGTTTGTGAATGTGTGTGAATGGGTGAGTGGTTCCTTGTTATAAAGCCAGTGCCTTGAAGGTGGAAAAGCGCTATAGAAAAATATGACTACTATTTGAGATGTAGACAGACTAATAATAAAGAGTTAGTTTAGCATGTGTGAATGAAACAAAACATAACTCCAGATAAGTTTCTGATGAGGTAACAACATTATAACATGACTAAAAGTGCACAAGAGTCAATTTAGTGTAATATAGGACCTTTAACTAAACCACTATCTAGTCTAACTTCTGTTTATAGGCACCATTTTGAGAACCATTCAAAGGATAACACTTTTTCGTGGTAACAGTGGTCATTTTTCATCACTCTGAAAGCCATAGTTGGGGGCATCGGTTCTGGCAATGTGCAAACCATTATCTTAAGTCACTGGCAGATGACGAATCAATAACTTGAGTCAATATTGGCAAGTGATCAATTCATTTTGTACAATTTCAGAGAGTCTAGTAAAAAGCCCTGCATTGCCAAGCCAAACAAATGTGAAACAGTAAGTTGCATCACGGCAGCCACTGAACAGCTGAATGGTTCCCCCAGACTGACTAAAATCTTTGCCTGGGGCTGTAGACACAATGAATGAATAGACTCAAGTCATCCCAGATCTCATCACATTATTCTCCACGGCCAAATCAACTCCAGCTCCACCAGACATAACAATGGCATTTTATTATATGTGACCCCAGCTTGTCTAATCAGTGTTTTCTTTTCAGATTTTGTGCATAATTATTGGTTATTGTTAAACATTGTCGGGAGCTGGACAAAGAAAAGTGGCAATTGGATTTGATGGTCACACGACTCCAAAAATGACTGAAACATAATCTCGCCATAGACCTGCTGTGGCTGAATCTATAAAGTGCACTTTTAAACCACATGAAGGATTGCTCAGTATTGAATTGTATCAGGTGAATTTTAAAGGAGCTCTGTGTAACCTTCATTTATGGGGTCTGCCATCTGCTTGTCTCCATGGAGATGTTTGTCTTGTTTAGAATGTTCCACAGTATGGCGTAAGACTTGTTTATCTCCATGACGACAAGCAGTTCAGATCTGTGGAGAGGCAAGTCCACTCACTGTAAGAATTGTTAAGCAATATTAAGATCTGCAATGTAAGAAGTAAGATAAGTTTAATGCCACATTGTGGAACATTCTAGACAACACATCTACATCTATGGCAACAAGCAGGTGACAGTTAGCCAGACTGGCAACACCTAGTGCCTCTGCTCAATTTCATTTCTCTCCAGCGTCTAGGTCAGGAATCGGAATACACTAGATGGTTTGCAAGAACTCCGGAAACTGAAGACCGTGCACTGGCCAATCAGTGAAGAGCTGTGAAGCCATGACGTCAAACTCAAGCACCTGTCTATGTCACTTTTGTGGTACAGCACAAGAGTAAACAAAGCAGTCGAGATGGATGTAGACAAAGACATATATTCTGTGTTGGCAACGATTCCCAAGAGCAAGGATTTAAAGCTGGAACAAAGAGAATGTTTAGTGAATCAAGGGGAAAAAACATTATTGCCCTTCTTCCTACGGGATTTGGCGCATTACATATGTCACAACCAATTCGAGTGAACGAATCCTAATGCTGCGAGGTCAGACGGTTTCCATGGCTGATGGTGACAGACCCACCACCACAAAAGTTACAGAGTGAACCTTTAAGGCAGTAAAGACTTGAAAGTATTCATAAAATATCATATTACACATTATTTTCTAAATCCTATACTTATATGTTGTGTCCTACATTATAACTAGTCATTGTGCAGAGCATTATGTCAGAGGCATTGCCCCGGGCCTGTCTTAGGTTTACAGGATTAAGGTCACTTGCTGTACACGATTTCCGGATATCTGCCCTATTAATCCCTGTAATGTATATTCAAAGTTGACTCTTAATCCCAATATTAAGCCATAACTCCTCCTGCTTTCAAGATACAGGGTCTAATGATGATAAAAGAGTTACCCACCTACAAATGTTAAATAGAATAAAAATGACAGAAAAACCTCACTTTGATAGAGGAGTCCATTAGCAAGAAGATAAACGCACATGCATTCTAATTCACCTCAGCTTCACAAATTTCTTCACCAATTTTTGCATTTTGAGACATTTCTGTGAGAATGCCGTCAACAGAAGCTGCATTGCTAAATCTTTAAAGGTGCACTATGTAACTTCTAAGGTGGTATGGCTACTACTTGCTTGTTCCCATGGAGATGTTATTTCTTTGCCTGGCATGTTCCACAGTAAGGCATTAAACATATATCCCTTGCATTTGTTAAATTATAGGTGTTTTCTAGCTCAAAAATTCCTTCAAAACATGAATTCTTACCATGTACAGGCTTGCTTCTACGTAGATCTGACCATTAACCTGTTGATTTACATTTCCATACTGTGAAATAATCAAGACAAAACCGTAATATCTCCGTGGAGACAAACAGGTGGTAGACCCATCCCCAGAAAACTTACACAATGCGCCTTTAAGAGCATTGTCATTACTGGAGGAGAAATCAGATGGAATAACCCTTTTGTCTATGTCCAACAGCAAGAGCAGCGTTTTGAAAAATACTATTAACCATTATGTTGTCACACATGGAACACTGCCACTGTGATGCTCTAAGTGGCTTCTATTACACAGAGTCAAATGGCATTTTTTTCTTGGCTTGTGTATTGTGTCTGGCTGAGCGGCAGACCACCTCCCCAATCCAACCATATTAAAAATGCCTTTGTTCTAGGCCCCGGTAAAAGCCTGCAGATGGTTAATTGCTGTGTTGCTGTTTTTTTATCTCTCTATTTTTGTGTGTAATATTAGCCTTTCTAAATATACCAGTGTGCTCCCAGCTTCACTCAAAAACAAAGTGCCATTACAATAAACATGGCAGGTTTTAAGCTAAACGGCATCCTTGTTTCACGCACACACATACTGTAAATGGAGACGATTTGAATGCAGTGTATTGCTCAAGGGCACGAAAACAGTGACTGTTGCAGGACACAGCACAATGTTTTTAATAGAAGCTTTTTGGCATTTTTAGTCATTTACATTTTATTCCAGCTTTTTGTTGTCCTGTCAAAACTTTGGGATTTGTTAGTCACATTCAAAAATTGTCTCTTTAAAGGTGCACTGTGTCAGCCCGCTCAATTTCATTTCTCTCCAGCGAATAGGTCAGGAATCGGAATACACTAGACGGTGGGAAAAACCCCGGAAGTGCGAATTCAAGCACCAGCCAGTCAGCGAAGAGCCATACATTCAGTGTTGGCAAGGATTCCCAAGATCGATTTTATCAAGGGGAAAGACGTTATTGCCCTTCTTCCTACGGGATTTGGGAAAAGCTTAATATACCATTTAGCCTCGTTAGTAGCGCATTACATACGTCACAACCAAATAGCAGCGATTGGTTAAATGAAAAAAAGTACCTACCTACCTCAAGTGAACGAAATCTAATGCTGCGAGGTCAGACGGTTTCTACAAAGTGAAACCGGCTCATGAATCAGGCTAGTGAATTGTGTAACTTTTTTGGCAGAGAGTCCTGCACCTTCTTGTCTCCAATTAGAATTTAGACGTTATTATTTTTTCCTTGAATATTCTACAGTATGGCATTTAATTTAGCTATCTCCATGGAGACAAGCAGGTCAAAAGTTACTGGTCAAATCGATTTTGAGATAGTTTTGAGAAATAAAACCTGTAATTGCATAGATACAAGAAATATTTGTTAAATGCCACACTGTAAATCCCAGGCAAAGCAATCACATCACCATGGAGACAAGCAGAAAAGTTACACAATGCATCTTTAACATTAAAATATGTCATATAGTGAATGAAACAGAATCAGCAAGAGAGTGAAAACCAATTTCTTCTATAATTCACATAACACTTCCCATCGTCTTCAGAAATATTACTGAACAATGTGAACCAGTTGTTTTCTCCCACTCCACGCTCTGTTAAATTTTCCAGCTATTTGACCAGTAAGCTGTACCAAAGCTTAAGAGGGACAATTCGCCTTCAAGTAGCACATAACAGCGTTTACGTGACAATGGCAAACAGCATGCAAGCTCTCCGGATTGCCCTGAGAGTTAACAGTGAAATCTCCTAAATGAGAGTGTATTGTGGAACAGGTCAAGATGCCATAACTAAGCTTCTGTTAAGGATGCTGGGTGTTGAAAGCAGAATTTCATAGCAATAGACAAAAGTGGTGGTGGAATAGTGACACTTAAGCCGGTTTAAAGTGAAACTGTAACATAATGGGTGCGTAGCTTTACAGTGCACATTGCTAAGTCTCTGGTATGCCCCTGATGTTGACTGTACCTTACCTGCGATAATAGGGGCCAGGCGAAAGATGTCAGAGAGGCGGCTGTTCACAGGCTCATATGGGGAATACTCCAGCAAGTCGTTACCTGCACAATACAATAATACAATTTTATTATACATTATAGCAACATTTAAACTTGTATATACACTTTTTTTTTGCCTCTTTCACATTTTTATATTCATCTTTTTAATTGCCTTTAACTTATGCCAGGCAAAGCTGATTAAGGATATCGTCAAGGATTTTGTGTTCTGGTCTGGGCACTGCTCCAAAGACAAGACCAGTGCCTTTGTGGAGGTCAAGTCTTTCCAAAAAGCACTTTCCCCTAAAATGTATTTAAGTTAGAGTACTTTTTCACTGTCTGAAGCTTAAGTTGATTAAATCTAAAAAGAAAAACAAATAAGATTTATTGAAATAATAATACACAAGGTTAGTAGTTGGCTAGACTATTGCAACCGAATTAACACTAAAGCTGTGCGTAATACTTTTCTTGACCTTTCCTCTTGTCTTCATGCTAAGATGAGTTGACAGTTGGTACCTTGCAGACTCTGAAATATGCTCCAAAAGATCCGGAGGCAGTTCTTCTCTTTCTTCATGCCTCGCCTGCACCGGCATCTGTACAGCGGGCTCTGCTTCATGGCTTCGATGGCGCTGCGACACTCGCCCTGAGCCTCGGGGCCAGTCACCGCGCTGAAGTTGCTCTCTCTGCCCGCCACGCACTGCCTCATGGTCCGGTACTTGGTGCTGCAGCTGTACTCTCTCAGACACTGCTCACTGGCCTTTACGCAGTCCATTGGCACTGATCGGGACGCACCATCGCCCTTCAAACTTAACCCAACGTCTGACAAATAAAGAGGAAACAAAGCAAAGTCAAAACAGTGGAGGATTACACGAATTTATACTGCTAAAGAGTCCCATCTACAAAAATATCACGGGCAAACTTTACATGCGACTAAACTTTACGCACGGTTAAAGCATGTACTTTACAGATGCATCGCGTTAACACTTACCTTGCAAAGAAAGCACAACGACTAAAGTTGTTAAAAGCATGTTTCTATGTGATTTTTAACGGTTGAGGTGAAACAAAATGTTGGAGAGTTAAAGCTGTCTCCTTTTCTCGACTTGGCACATCACGTTGATCCAAACACAGGTAAAGCATCCATTACATCCATAATTGTGCGTCTCAGCTCTCCTCGTGCGTCCAGAAGCGCCACTTCGGACCACGGACCGAACAAAGTGAGAGTGCAATCGCGTTGAGCAAACGGAGATCACAGGGTGCCACGCAGCTGTCAAACTTTGGTGACTCAAGTCTTACCAAAATCTTCACAAAATACTTTTACGCAGAAGTTGTGCATTCAACTTTGTCCTTTAGCGTCCTTGGTGGACTGAAAGCACGTTGGCGCGGTACATCCCCAAAAGTCGATACATAAATTCCCTCAGTGATGGAGCGCCGTTTGATCCGTGACCGGACTGTTCTCTGTGTGTGCTCTGCTCAGATGAACAATTGCAAAGCTCCAGACGAAACGCGCCGTGACGTCATGTGACCGCCGCGCGCACAATCCCCATAATGAGTCGCGGGCGTTTTAGAGACTCTCCTCCACAGCTCCTCAAACAGTCAGACTAATTGATGACCAGAGGCGAACGGGTTACATCTGTCAAAACGGGACCAGCCTGCGTAATGGCACGGGATATTTACGGTCACCCACTTCATTACGCGCTCACACTTTTTCTGCAGGACAAAATAAGATGATGCTCTGAACTTGACCCCGCAACCCCAGTAGTCATATGTTTTATCTATTTTTTGTTTTGTTTTTATCTGTTTGTTTTTATGCCACCATTATTATAATTTGTTTAGATCTTTAGATTGCAAGTTTTTAAATGCCCTGTATATTTCATTCACATGTTTCACTAACCCTTTATTATTAGTCTGTCTGCATCTCAAAAAGCTCAAAATGCTTTGTTTCACCTTGTGATGTCATGAAGCTGTAATTTTCTCATTAATGGGTACCTTTTATCTTCTGTTCAGCAGAGATTTATCATTCCAGGGCAGGGCATTATCCAAATGATTCTAGTGAAGTGTATGGAGTTTCAAAACACAGTGAAGCACTTCCTCAATTACCACATGACTTCACAAGTGTTTCTGTCTGAGAGAAGAACTCAGCCTAAATAAGCAGGGTTTGTGTGTTAAACATGTTTGAAACTAACAAAACACAACTCCAAGTAAGTTTGTGATGAGGAAACAACATTATGTCATAGATTAGAAAATAGTGTAATGTGGGGCCTTTAAACAACTAAAAATAATATTATCTCCTAAATAATGTTTTTACTACATGGTGAAACTCAAAACAATGACTATGTGATAACTTTGTATTTGTGATGATTTTGTTTTACCTTTTTCAGCAGGGTGAATGTTCCCCTAGAGAGGAAGCACCCTGAGACATGGAAGAAAATACTACAATCAGTGAAAAGAAACAAGCACAAAAGTAAAAGAATATGTTTTTTACTTTTCTACTTCTACTTGAATTTTTTTTTTTTTACTTTTTGTATCTGTACTTTTACTCAAGTAACAAAATTGACACCTTAAGCCAAAGATGTTCATTTTGTCTTCTTATGTATTTTAACTTCTTGGATTCTTCTCTGGGCACCACCAACACCGGTGACATTTTTGAAGCTGTCTTGCAGCTAGCAGCCGAAACACATCAACAAGGTAAATACACTTATACTTATACTACTATATTGTATTTTAAAAGAACCCAAGAAGTTAAAATTGACACCTTCTTCGATCACTGACTGTGGTCACGGTGACAGGCCTTACTGTTTAAGTCAGGTACTGCTAACTGTCTTTGTTTTGCACTGTTAACATCTTCCAAATCAATCCACGTGGTAACTTTCTGTCACTTCTCAATTTTAAAATATCCCACAGCAGATTACTACATAGGCTGCAGTGCCCAGTGGGTAATATTGTAAAGCGACCACCTCCACACTACAGCTTAAATTAGTTCTTACTGTATGCACCTTCCCGTCAGCTGTGCAGACTCAGGTAATACATCTCCCATAATGAAGTGTTTAAGTTTATTGGATGGCCCCTTTTAAAAGCCCTGCGCTGTGAGACCAGTAAGTCAATACATTTCATTGGGACGGATCTCGAAGCCAGATAGTCATTAAATATGTATTTGCTACATCTTTTAATACTCAATACTGAACGCCAACTAAGATTACATAACTAAAAGCACACACAGAAAAAAAAAACATATAAACTCTTCTATAATAACATCTAAACAACTATAGCTTGATATATGGTGCGTTATGTTGTTATTGATGAAATTCCATTAGCCATATAGGAGGTGTGGGAACCAGTTGTTAAGTTGGTGCCTCTAATGTACAGTATTTCCTGCATATGATATGTCCTGCTTAAACAAATGGAAAATCTATACCAAATCATCAATAGGAAGTATAGGACTGCTGCTGGGTGTACCCTTCACTCAAGCCATACAGAGATTCAAGCCATATATAACCCTTCTAAAGCTTTCTCCCCTAGACTTATCCATCTCTGTAGCGATCATTCATTTGATGTGTCCCTTAAGAACGCCCGAGCTCTCACCGCGCCGCAAATTTATTAGGTAAAATCGATAACATTGTTCTGTGGCCATTGCAAGCCCCCCACTAGCCAATTACTGCCCTCTTGACTAGTGCCTTCTACAATAGGGCTCGGCAGTAACACAAAAAGTAAAACAAAAAATAAGAGTTATGGTCTGAACTCAGTAGTTAAAGGTGCTTTGTGTAACTTTTCTGGTGGAGGTTTTGTTAAATGCTTTTCTCAATGTAGATTTCTTTGTCTGGAATGTTTCACAGTATAGTAAAATCTTCTTTCTTCGTGGAGACCAAACCAGACCAAGTTACAGGTCAGATCTGTGAAGAGGCAACCCTGCTCAGTCAGAGTTTTTCTTTGTATTTTTAAGCTATAAAAGCACCTGTAATTTAATAAATGTAAGGTAGAGCTGTTTAATGTCACACTGTGGAATATTCCAAGCTGAGAATTAACATCTCTATAGAAACAAGCAGGTGACGACCCCTGGCCAAAAAGTTGCCTTATGCAAAGTGGAAAGTACTACAAATTTCTACTCATTGTTATTGTCACGTAACACTATTCACAAACTAGAAACTTGCAAAGTAAAACAATGAAAGAAAAGAATACAATTAAATATTTAGGATACCCAAGTACGCGTTCAAGTCCTGCTGCAAAAATGGTAAAACCAATATGATTTGCATTTGCTTTGAATAACGATAGAATCAATGGATGAATTCAAATGAAAGAACTAAATGACACAATGGTGTTTATTTATTGTACTATTTGAGCACATACTAGGCATGTGGTCATAATGTTTTGGCTGATTACAGTATATATTGCACAAACTTAATTGAATCCAAGAAATGTATTCTACTGTATGCAGCTTAATCCACTTTTCCTCTATTGAAAATACTGTAAGTGGTGTGTGTAAAGGCTTGTGTCCAAATCCCTGTGTGAGCCTGGAACATTGTAAGCTGTTTTTAGCCATCTTTTTCCCAGGAGTCTTTTTCAAAGCCTTGCTGCAGTGTGTGGGTTTCATATGGACGTGTAATATGTGTGTCAGTGCAGTCTAGTCACAATGGAGAAGTGGTCTGAACAGGACACTTGTTTCCTCCATGAGCAGTATGTCCTGCTCTAACATATTCATGGGCTGCAGCAGCAAATATCAGAATTGAAGTTGTGCCCCTGGTGAATTGCAGGGACAACAATGCCATCTAGTGGGAAACAGCTCTATGCACATGGCTCTCAATTGTCAACTAGAACAGATTTGATGTCATGTGCTATATACAGTACAAATATATATATATATGTACTATTGAAAAACACAAAATACATTATACTTGCATCTTTAAAAAAAACCCCATAGAATTCCAAACTCTAACCTTGTGATGAATATGTGGCAATCATATCTTATCCCTGTAGAAGAGGTATGACTGCAGGGTCAAAAGAATAAAAGTGTGATTATTTATTTATTTATTTATTTTTTGCTCATGAGGGACAATATACAAAAATTTCACAATTACATTTTGTTCATTTATTTTTTAATAAATCAATATGTTGTTATTATCCATTATATTACAAAAAGAAAAAATCTAATGGTGGATTCCTGGAATTACAAAGAGAAACTCCCGAAAAAAGGAGATGCAATAAGAAAAGGCTGGAGAACACAGAATCATCTCAGGCATCTCCAGCTTCCAGGGAACCCTCATTTAAGCAAAGGCCCAAGAATGTACGTGTTTTTTTTCCTTAAGACCAGAACCAGAAAAACACTGAGAGGAGCTGGCTGTATCCACGTACTAACTAGAGAGCGGAGGCTGCCGCCAACAACCCCAATGTTGACCACCAAAGATATGCCAAGAAAACCTGGCATCACAACAATGGACAATCACAGACATCTCCAGCACCTAAAAACTCTGTCCCAAGAGGAGGAAAGAGACCCTTTAATACTGGAAAGGCAAAGGAGAGAAGAGCCGATGATGGCAGATCTAGCTGCCCAAACAAAACCGACATGGAGACTCAAGCTCCCAAAAACTGGGGAAAAATGATAATGGCAATGGACCCCGACCAGATAGAGAGGGACCAAAATGCAACAAGGAACAGACTGAAGCAACAGAAGCTTCACAGGTGAAAGAAAAGCCTAAGTTTGTGCCGGCTCCTATACCCACAGAAAATGCCTGGCTTAAAATAACAGAAAAAAAACATTGGAAGACAATTCAACCAGGCAGGCTAATGAGGTTATAAATGATGGTCAAAAATAGTATAAACCCCCTCAGCCAATTCATGTGTATCTTCAGAGACCACCGAGACGTCTTCTGAGAAAGGCAGGTGACTGCAAGACAACTGAAAATGGGGGAAGAGGAACCACATTCCAAAATAAACCCTCGCACCAAAGCCTGAGTTATTGAGGTGTTTCCTTCAGAACCACAAAAAGACCAGAGACCACCCAGCCGTCGTCCAAGAAAGGCAGGTGACCGCCACATTC